AGCAATAAAAAATAACTAAATACTATGATGTTTATTGTAGGAATTGTCAGAGACAAAGAGTAAGTACAAAGCTTCAAACCAAAGAGATCATGATCATACTTACAACCAAACATTTTTAACTTTTTTATAACAAGCGTTTAGACAAGTTGAGGCTGATAAGGGAACCATTATATCCAAGACTTTAACTTTATATCTTGTTTTTCTTTTTCATTATTATTGTTATTTATTACAGATATGAACGTTTTGTTATTCTATTAGAGATGATGTTATGAATTTAATAGCTTTATTTTAGGATTGGATAACCGAGTGTTATAACCACAACCAGAAACAAAACAACTTGTTGGCATTGAACCTTACCTTTTACACTTCATAATGAATGAGAATAAACATTAAAAATGCACATTCACCCACAAATTGAACATTTCTTGTGATTCTTACAGAAAATAGACAGACAAACAGAACAAATATACCCCCTGTTGATTGTGTTTTTGTGACCATAACATCTGCAAAAGTATTGGCAAGTCTTATAGTAAAACTTAATTTGTATCACATAATAATAGTAATATATAAAACCAACTTATAAAGCCCGAAAATCTACATCAACAGGCTTTGGGAGTTATAAGAAGCTGCGGGAATGCAAATTTGTCGCAAAATCTGTTTGCATGCAAACAAAACAAATTATTAATGACTATAAAGCTATATATTGCTGTAAAACTAGTGTAATTTTTTCTTTTCATATGAAAATATTATTACTGAAGAGGGAATAGAAGTCACATACTGTTAGATATTGGAGCAGTCCATCCAGCTGTTGCGGCTTTAGATAAACACCTCCAGTGATATAAGAAGCCTGTCACTCATATATTAATAATAAACAATTAATTATTATACCAATAAAAAGCTACACCAATTATAAAATATAAATCTATGTGCCACCTGTTGCAGGAATGCAGAATGTCGTTGTGCCCCAGACACAGGAATCTATAGGCACCATTGATCTTTGAGCAGAAAAAATGAATTCATAATAGCAACATATATGTGAAATATATAAAATCATTTTGAGTAATCATAATGACAAAATGAAAATGAAAAAAAAAAGTTTGGAGACATAATGTCGAGGTCCATCTTGTGATCCAATGCAAACACAAAATATGTAATCATTTATTGGTAATTGGAAGGTAATTTTTATATCATAAAGTATTTAGGTAATGGATTTAGCATTGATGAATGCACAAGAATTAACCAAGGTGGTGAATGAAGCAATCCAAAACGAAATACTCGTTGTATGTCTAATCACTGTTGTTATTTTTTGACAATCTTGTCAGATATTAAACATAAATGGGTCAAATGCAAGAAATAGCATCGTACTTTACTGAATTGTTTATTATAGCATCCAACTTTCATTTTTTCCAGTTACAAAGTTGTACTTTGGCTATATGTCTAATTATCATTGTTATTTTAAACAATCTCATCATATATTAAACATAAAAGGGTTCAATAAAAGAAATAGCAACGTACTTTCTTGGATTTGTTTACTATAGCAGCCTATTTTCATGTCTTCCTATGACAACATTGTACTAAAATAATTCTACCTAATTATATCAATGTCATTTGCACTGCTATAATAGGGTAGATTTTTCGAATTATGATATCGTAATAAAAAAAATTAAAGAACAATGCTATATTTTGGTAGAGTTTTAAATGTATAAAAGATTGTACTCTAAAAAAGCCACTAAGTTATAGCACTACACTTTCATTTTTTTCTTATTAGCACATTATTTTATGAGAAATCTACCTAATGATAGCATTGTAATTATTATTTTTTTCTTATTAGGACCTTGTACTATGAGAAGTCTACCCAATTATAGCACTGTACTTTTTTTTCTCTTAATAGGACATTATACTCTGAGAAATTTACCCAATTATAGCATTGTTTTTTCTATTAATAGGACATTGTACTCTGAGAAATATACCCAATTATAGCATGTCACTTTTGCATTTTCATTCTTTTTCCTTATTAAGACACTATACTCTGAGAAACCTACCTAATTATAACACTGTACTTTTTTTTCTTATTAGGATGTTGTACAATGAAAATGTCCTCTTCCAATTATCACTTACTACTTTCATTATTTTCCTTATTAAGACATTATACTCAGAGGAAAATACCAAACTATAGCATTCTTCTTTCAATTTTTTCTTATTATTACATCATACTAATAAAATCTACCCAATTATAGCATTGTAGTATTGTACTTTCCTTTTTTCTTATTAGGACATTATACATTGGAAAAGCTACAATGACGTGCTATAAATAAATGGAAGCAGTATGCTATAACACCCAAATCAATGAAACTACATTGCTATTTCTTGCATTTGACCCAACATAAAATAAGATGAACACACAAGATGGTGCAAATCATCAAAGGATACAACAAAGTACCATTGAAACAGACCCTGAAAGCAATGAAGACCCAATCCCATCAACCGACTCTTCCTTATTAAGCTCCTCATTTTTAACTACAACCTCCTCTACATTTTGCAACAATATCAATGAAGAATCTAAATGTAATCACAAGAGTTGAAGCCAGTTGTTATCACCACGACTTGATTCAGTTGATTTAGTAGAATAATTGAGTTCAAGAACAAAAGAACCTACATTAAATTAAAAAGTGAAGTAGTGAGGACAACATTTATGAATTTTTTGTTTCACATGAGCTGTTCGAGTTTCATATTTTTGAGGGTTAAAAGAAAGTACATTGCTATTTTTTGAAAGAAAAATAGATTAGTGTATTATATTAAAAGACTAATATGAAAAGATTGTGTTTACTTGAGCTAGGAACTTGGAGAATGAGAAAGGAGTAGCAGTTGAGCTCCGAACTTAGAGAATGAAGCAACGGATTTGTGTCTATTAAAACCATTTGCAAGCTTGCATCATCTTTGATTTAAGTATGGATTAGATTATTGATGAATGACTATATAATGAAATTGAGTTAGAATATAAAAATGATTATAGACATATACATTTACCTGACTACTGCTTACATCATTTGTGATTACAGTTCTATATTGAAGGGGTGTTCTGTTTGGGAGGATTACTGGATGGATTTCCTGGTTGATCAAACTGAAAATTATTATCAAGAATTACAAGGTTAGTCCCTCAAAATTTTCAAAACTTTGTTCTCAAATCTGTTTGATGCATTATGTGTGCATCTTAGCTCATTAAATTGTTGTAGGTTAGTCTTCTCAGCACATTACATGCTCGTATAGACTTTCCTTTTACCCTGATTTTATGAATGAAACAATTGAATAATCTCCAAACTACTTAGTCATATAGTAAAATAAAATTGGTTATTTTTGTAACTGTTCTTGAATGAAGGCTAAAAGCCTAAAACTATGATGAGTTGATTTAGTTAATCAAATACATCAACAAAATGATATACATGTTTCACTCCAAGTCACTCCCATAGCCAACGTCTGGGTGCACAAAATCTATGACCAAAACAAAAATATATCTTAAAAAAATGCCAGCTCCATCCATAGTTAGAGTCGCCATCTTAGAACTATTGTCAAGAGCATATGCCACAGTACTGAGTTTCAAACTTGATGACATTGCATCGTTTTTCACTATATTTAGGAACTTGCAATTCTTTTTTCTAAGCAGAATCTAATCATGGGAAAGAGAGTGGTACATATTCATTGAGGAGTTTCATCAAACACGTAGAATGCTATATATAACTAGGATTTTCACACAAGAAGAATACTTTCTTTGACTGTACATCGTTAACTTTGGAGAGGAAACTCAAAGTGGTTTAAAGACGGCATTGTTGCGGCTTGATGCACCTCACGTAGTCCGTACTCAAATCGAACAAAGGAGTATTCAAGGGTAATCACGCTCTGTTATTTATCACCACCAATTTTTATAGCATGACTTTCTACTATTTTCGTTTTTTATTACAATATTATAATATTTGTGCATTTAAGCAAAGGTTGGCAGTAAGTGAGTTTGGGTTGGGTTTGTATTGTTGAGTTTAGGAACTTACCTCCATAAAAGTATCACGGATAAACATCTAGCATGTTGGAATGACGCCTCCAAATTGGTTTCTTGAGATGTCAAATCTTCAAGAGTTAAAAGGAAATGGATGGAAATTAGAAGAAAATAAAAAAAATTGGTGTTCCTGAGTTTCATTAAAGGAAAAGTTTCATTAAAGGAAAGAAGTGGAAGGAAGTGGAGAGGAAATGGAAGAATCACTTTCCCTCCTGTCTTTCCTTCGGATTTGGGAGGAAAGAAGAAAATTATTAATTTTTCTTCCACTTCTTTCCAACTCGGGAACACAAAAAGAAAATTTTGTTTTCCTTTCCTTTCTTTTCTCTCGTTAAGTTGAACTCGGGAAAAATTAAGAAAATTATTAATTTTTCTTCTTTTCTCTCATTACTTTTTTTTCTCTTCTTTTCTTTTCTTTTGATAAACTCGGGAACGGGGTGCATTCTTTTCTCTTCTATTGATAAACTCGGGAACCGGGTGCATTCTTTTCTCTTCTATTGATAAACTCGGGAACCGGGTGCAAGGGAAATAGGAACTAGGAAGGGTTTTTGACACAAATTTAAACCTCACGTTGTTAAAAGAAATATAAATAAATAAATAAATAAATACAGTTTTATCATAAGTCCGTTTTTATATTTATTATTGTCTGAACTTTATAAATGGTTTTTTTTATTTTTATTTTTATTTTATTTTTATTTTATAAGTGATGACAAATTTTCAAGTTAACATCTAATAAAATTTATTTATTACATATTGTAGAAGCTTTACAATATTTAATCTAAGCCTAATTTTTGCTTTTTCTTTTTTTTAACATACAGCCCAGTAGCCCACAAATTAGTGATCCATAATCAATTGTCTTTTTCGTCAGACAGACAGATCGACACAACAGCCCCACCCATTTTTTCAGCCATGTTTTAATTTTTTTTATTTCCGTTATCGCTCTTATTTATAAGGATTCTGTCCTTCCTCTTCCACCTTAACAACCAAATGAGTATCATCATTTGTTCAAATCAATGCTTACAAGGAAAATTCTAACTATTTATATGAACCAAAATCTGATTTATCACTTGATGAGGTTTTCACAGTGGTGGTCGAATGGCAACGTGATGCACTCTATGTTACTGCGGTTCGATTTCTAGCAGGGGCACCAAGTTCTACTTGTGGTGTTGGAATTTAATCGAGCCGTTTTGTGATCAATTTCTCCGCTTATATGATGTCCCCCAAGCCGAAGGCGAAAAGGCATAAATTCATATAGCGTTCAGACGTGGTTAATACTCGGCCTGAGGTTGATGCAAATGGGCTTTCTGAAGGAAACGCATCTATTTACCAATAAGGTATGTTATATTTCTTTTAGTACCGATGTAGTTTTGTGCTTTGAAAACGTATAAGGACATAAAAAGCATACGTAATTGGTAATAATTTGGTGGTCCAATCCAATTTCTGTCAAGGAAATTCATCGTTTATGGAAATTTGTAATGTTTACGTCTTTGATTTTGAAGTTGCTATGTTTAGTATAACCGATTCTGGAATGCTTAGATTAGATTGTCAACAGTATCATTTTGTTGGATTACTCATCGTCGTAGAAACTTTAATTAGCAAGAACCTGAGGATTTTCCATAATTAGATATCATATTTTGACTTTCTGCAGTCAAAATTTGAAACCTCCAACCTTTGAATTTGATATGTAGTTATTTTAATTCCTATTAGAATCAATGAAGACAGTAGCTTGTAGTATTTTAAGGACACCATGTTAGCCATTTTTGTTTTAGCTACTACATTACCATTATTCATGTCATTTTGTATCATGCCATTTTTGTTGTTAACTTCAACTTTTGGTCTGGATTCTTGTAATCATGGTCTATTCTTTGTTAAGAGTACCAGCATTTTTTTTGTCAGTGATCTTTTGTTCTAAAGAAACATAGAGCTTGTGGTGGTTATGATCTCCAAACCATAATTAAACTGTATTCTACATGAATAGAGACTTGCTTCTTGTAGACATGTAGTTTAAGGTCTATACAAGTGGTGGACCTTGGTATACCACTCTTAAGAAGAAAGTTAAACATTATTTCAATTATTTGAGGAAAATAATCAAATATTAGTTTGTGCTTTTATTCAGTTGAACGCCAGAGTTCTGCAATCAGGAAAATTGGTGATGTGGAGATTGAAAGGTTACTTACTGCTTTGCCCTTGCTAAAATCTAATATAAGCAGGGAAGACTCTATTACTTTAATATTTTGAGGGAAATCTTCCACACCTAACAGTGTCAAAAACCAAGAAAGATGGACCAATTGAAGTTAAATTGAAAGATAAAGATGATAATTTGTCCATGAACACCGGTGATGGAGGAAACATGATCCCTTCATTTTTACAACATATGTCCATGGCTTATCCTGACTGCTCTACTGCAATGCCATCTGTTGGTGGCTTTTGAGTTTCCAAGTAAAAATGGTAAGCTGTTATGCAATAAGGGTTTCAGTTTTCATTTTGCATTATGATTTATTTTACACACAGTTGGATCGATCCCTACTTGTATATAACTTGGTTGCAGGAAAAACAAGCTTCATTGGCACTGATAATCTTCAAATCAAGGATTTTGTAGGTTATGCATTCTTATCCTCAAAAGACCACCATATTTTCAAAGTAATACCTTCATTCCATTTATTTCACATTTTATTATACAAGATTCATCACATACTCAGATACATCCATATTTAACAATTAACACCCAAAATATCTACTAACAAGACACCTCAACTATTTTGAAGTGTATCCAGAATATGCTGCAACTCATGGACAACATTTACGATATTCATCCGTTGCGCTGGGGAATCCACAGAGCATGATACTCCAAGTTTGACAGTTGAAGCCATGCATTCCTCTATTTTCTTTACATCTGCTATCGTAGGAATAGCATCCTCTTGAAGAAATTTCAGAAGGTCATCATCAATAACATCGGTCACATGGTCTGGCAAGGCCATGTCTGCAAATTTATGAAGGTTGAGGCCTTCAATAAAGATGTTGTCTGTTGGCCTCTTCCCTGTCATCACCTCCAACAATAGTATTCCGAAACTGTAGACATCCCCACTACTTGTCATCTCACTCCCAACACCATACTCTGCAACTTATAAGTAATGACATCAAAAAAAAAAAGGTAACAGTATAAATAAATATAAGAATCTGAGAATACATACATGAACTTTACCTGGTGGTGCATATCCAATTGTTCCTCTAATGTCACTTGTACTGTTTTTGTTTGAATTTGTTCCAAGAAATCGAGCTAAACCAAAGTCTCCAACATGGGCCACCATATCATCATCCAACAGAATGTTGCTTGGCTTCAGGTCACAGTGAATGATGGCTGGTAGACAGTGATTGTGAAGATAATCAAGGGCAGATGCAACATCAAGAAGGATATTTATTCTGTGAAGAAGGCTGAGTGTGGATTTACTTGCATTTGCATGCAGCCAACCATGTAAACTTCCCTTGGGCATGAACTCGTATACCAAAGCTTTGAAATCATTGCCTTGAAAGTCAACACTTGAACATGAAGTTATTATCTTCAATAGATTGCGGTGCCGGATACTTTGCCATGCTTGACACTCTGCTATGAAGCTTTTATGAGCACCTCGGTTTTGAAGATGTAGAACTTTGATTGCAACAAATCTATCATCATGATCATCAAGGATTCCTTTGTAAACAGAGCTGAAACCCCCCTCGCCAATCAAATTAGCTTGGGAGAAGCCATTGGTAGCCTTTAGAAGTTGACCATATGATACTTTTATGAACCGTCCCTCCCTCGATGATTGAGATGGTTGACTCTTCCTTTTCTTACCCCAAACATATGCAAAACATAATATGGTGAAAAGTGTGGATGCAATTAGGATGAATATGGCGAACAAAGGAAACCTTCTTTTATGTTTTCCTGTCCCCTTGCATTTGGGCAACCCAAGTTCAGGCAAGCCACCACAAAGCCTGCTATTGCCCAAAACTGAGAATTTAGTTGTGTTGGCGAATACTCCCAACACTGGCACTTCACCCTCAAAATCATTAAAGGATAGGTCTACATATTCTAATAAGATTAATCGTTCCAAGAATCGAGGAATTTGACCTGATAAATTATTTTGAGAAAGATCGAGTGTTGACACTCCTCTCATGGAACTTAATGTTGATGGTACAATGCCTTGAAATGAGTTGCCTTTGAGAGACAAGGATACAAGGCTAATGCAATCACCAAGGCTACTAGGAATGTTTCCTGATAAATTATTATCAGAGAGATCCAAAGAAGTCAACATCTTGAGTTGGCCAACCTCTGTTGGAAGTGACTCAATGAGGTTGTTTTGAGAAAGATCTAATGCCAGGGCTAGAGATGATAGTCGAAGAAGTTGTCTAGGTATTCTGCCGCTGAGATTATTGTCTTCAAGGTACAATGCCAATAGATTATGACAATTTCCAACGCTTGATGGAATATGCCATTCCAGTCTGTTGGAACTTAGATACAGTGTAAACAACAATGATAAGTTTCCGATGACATCTGGAATCGGCCCTGAAAATTGGTTCTCTGATAGAAAAACGTCTTGTAGCTTTTGAAGCTTACCAATGGTGGAGGGTATTTTCCCTGAGAATTGGTTTTTTGATAAATCTAAAGCCGTCAAACCGACCAGATTACCTATACTTGAAGGTAGGCGCCCATGTAAATGATTTCCATGCAAGTTTAGAAAACGGAATCGATCAGAAAGATTACCAATCGATGCGGGCAACACTCCTTGAAACTTGCAAGTATTAAGATTCAACGACTCTAATCTGCTGCAGTTTTCCATAGTATTAATAAACTTCATATCATCAGCTTCTCCTCCGAATATGTTGTTATATAATGATATTTTATAGATATCTTTTAGTTTTGCAAAGTCGATTGTCAACTTCCCACTAAAATTGTTGTCGCCCACTTCAAGAATTCTCAGTTTTGAACAATTAGATATCGAGGGTGGAAGAGGTCCAGTTAGATTGTTATGCCTTAACTGAAGGAAAACAAGATGAGGTAGCATTGCACCTAGGGCTGACGGAAGACTACCAATAAGCTCATTCCCAGCCAAGGAAAAATTAGCTAGGCGTGAGAGGTTATAAATTGAATGAGGGATGGTTCCAAATAAATTACAACCACCACAGCCAAAACCTCTTAAGCTTTTCCAACGGCCTAAGGTGTTTGGAATGCTCCCACCGAACGGATTTTCAGCAGCAGAGAACACTTCCATTGATGTTATATTCCCCAAGGCAGGCGGGATTCCACCTGTTAAATTATTAGTGCGGATTGAAATAAGAGTAAGTTTGGAGAGGAAACTGATCTCTTTGGGTATGCTTCCAACTAGCTTGTTATAAGAAAGTTCAAGCTCTTCAAGGTTAGAACAACGAGTCAAGTTAGTTGGAATGACTCCGTTGAATTTGTTAGAGCTAAGATCGAGGGCACGTAGCCTGGTTAAACGACCGAGCTCATGTGGGATGGTTCCTTGAAAGCTGTTGTTTGAGAGAGAGATGTGACGAAGGAAGCTGAGGTTCCCTACGTGAGGAGACAACGAGCCTTCTAGGCCTTGCGACTTCAGTCGTAGAGCAGTCACTCTTCTGTGGCGCTTCCCACATATAACACCACTCCAATCACAGAAATGAAAGGAAGTGTTCCATGAGCTTAGACCTTCTTCATTAGTGATCATCGACTTGAACTGCAACAACGCCTGATAATCGGTCTCATTACCGCCACCGGAAATAGAGATGCTGGAGGTAATACCAGATATAACAAGACAAGAAAAGAGGAAACCAATATGTGAGTTCATTTTTGGAACGTAACTGAAGAGTACAAGGATCAACGTGCTTGCTTTTAAATTTATACTCAGTTTTTGAATGTTAACTTACGTGACCTGCAAATAATGAAATGACCGCTATCCACCAAATTCCCGCTTACCTTGACCTAGACAAACTAATATGTTTGCTAACATAATTCCAGCCATTGCTTTGTTGTTTTCGAGATAATAAAGTCTAAATATGATTATATGACGAACCAATCAAATAAAAAATAAAGAAAATTGGTACAAAATTTATTGTATGAATCGTTGAGACAGAGTACATACAAAGCTTCAAGTCTAAAAATATCATCTTTAGAGCCTCATCTATCTTAATACAAATAATATTTAAAAAAATTTAGATTTTTCGTTTTATTTTACATTTAGTTTTTTTTATCTCCAAGATGAGTAAATAAGATAAGGTTCGATGTCTCACAAAATTAACATAGTCTTAAATAAACCTATATATATATATATATATATATATATATATATATATATATATATATATATATCTATATATATATATATATGGAAAAGTGAATATACCCTTAAGGGTATATAAGCTTAGGTACTCAAACTCACAATAATACGTCGTTTTGTTGGATATATTCATTATAATGTTCTTAAACTTCAATCCCTAACTTGATTTACTTTCAAGATTTTTAAAATTTCACTATTATCTTATCTTTAAATCACATCTTTTTGCCGAACACCTACTAGGCTATATACATTATAGTTGAAAATGGAAATTATAAAAATCAACCCTCGTATCGGAGATATAAGCTAGAAATCCCGTACATCTCTGCTGCAAAAATCTCTTAGCCCTTGCATCCGAACAGAAAGTTGGCCCCTGCGAGGCTCTCTCACCATGAATAACCAGTTCTCCCCCACTTGGGGTTCGAACCCTAACCAACTGACGCTCACAATCAATCATGGCCCCGTTGGCTCCCAAACAATCCATCCCGACAATCATATTCAGCCCTCGTAATGGTATCGGGACCAGATCCACGCGAAACCTCTTGCCCAACACATTCAGGACGCAATCCTGATATACCCTCGCAGCACTCACAGTGCAGTCATCTACAATCTCTACCACGAGCAGGGAATCGAAAGTTCCCGGCGTGTCCCAGAACTTCTTGCTAAGCGCAAGTGACACGAATGATCGGGTAGCACCCGAATCAAACAAAACATGAGCAGACATACCATTGACCAAAAAGGTCCATAATTCATACAAATAATAAGAACATAGAATAATAGACACGTACTAGCCATAACGTCTGGCGCTGCCTGAGCCTCCTCGGTAGTTAGCTGAAATGCACAGCTCTTCACCCTCAGGGCATCCGCCTTAGCAGGACGGCCATCGATGATCCTCAGTGTGGCGGGTGCAGGCACCACCACTGCTCCTCCCCCTTCCTGCAACCTCGAACAGTCGGCCTTTTTATGGCCAGTCTGGTTACAGCTGAAACATATCAAACCCTTCTTGGGGTAATCCCTGCTCAAGTAGCCCTGTTGACCACAAGAGTAACATCCTAAAGCCTAGGGAACCTCCCTAGCATTAGAAGGAAGCCCTGGAGCACCCGACGGCTCTGAGAAAAAGAGC